ACCGCAGGTGCCCAAGTTAACCAAGAACAACTACCACATTTGGGACCTTGTGGAAAATGACCACACAGTAGCATCGACATCGGCGGAGATTACTGCGGAGAAACAGAAGGAGTGAAGAAAAAGAAAAACAGGGCCTTGTTCACAATATATCAAGGAGTTGACGAATCCACCTTCTAGTTAATTTCTATAGCAAAAATAGCGAATGAAGCATGGGAGATATTAAGGAATGCCCACGATGGAGTTGACAAAGTGAAAAGGATCCGACTTCAAGCCTTGAGAGCACAATTTGAATCACTACACCAAAATAAGTCAGAGTCTATCTTTGATTATTTTTCTCGAGTTGTATCTATCGTCCAAGAAATGAGACAAAACGGTGAGGAGTTAAGCAATGTTCGAGTGATTGAAAAGATCTTGAGATCCTTGGATTCAAAGTACAATTATATAGCCGTTGCCATTGAAGAATCCAAAGATCTTGATACATTGAAGCTGGAGAAGTTGATGGGTTCGTTACAAGCTTACAAACAACGACTCATAAACCAAGGAGGGGATCGATCTTTGGAGCAAGCTCTTCAAGCCACCCTCACATTTAAAAGAAATGATTTTAGAGGAGGATCACAACGTGGCGGATTTCAGCCACGTAGAGGACGAGATGGTCGAGACTCCACCTACAATGACCAGAGTCAAGGCACCAAATTTGATGGTGAAAAATAGGACGTACGAGGTCGTGGTTTTAATCAAGGCCGAGGAAGATATCGAGGTCGTGGATGTGGAAGAAGTTTCGGACAGAGGTATGACAAATCTGAAATTCAGTTTCATATTTGCAAGAAATTTGGCCATTATGCCAATGAATGTTGGTATAACACTAGCAACATAGAGGAAAAGGCAAATCTTGTCGACAAGGAATAAAAGAAGGACGAAATAGTGTTGTTAATGGCGAGCAATGAACGAGATGCAACAAATGATTTTATGTGGTTCTTGGATACTGGTGCCTCAAATCACATGTGTGGAAGAAAGGAGTTTTTCGCCAAGCTTGATGAAAGAAGACTCAGAAACATTACATTTGGCAATCTATCACAAAAGCCAATTGAGGGAAAATAAGACATAAATTTTCAGCTTCACGATGGGAGACAAGTAAGCATTTCTGATGTTTATTATGTTCCAGATATAAATAGCAATCTTTTGAGCGTTGGGCAATTGCTGGAGAAAGAATATGTTGTGAAAATGGAGGATTTGGCTCTAAGCATTCGTGATAAGAATAATCGTCTCATTACCAATGTAAAGATGACGAAGAACAGGATGTTCCCATTAAATTTGAGCATCAATGAAGTGAGCTCTCTCAAAGCAACCAGCATTGACAACCCAACACTTCAGCATCTTCGCTACGGGCACTTGAATTTTGAGGCGTTAAAGATTCTTAAGAAAAATAATATGGTGATTGGGTTACCAGAGGTGAAGCATCCTAGCAAGGTATGTGAGGTGTGTGTCATGGGAAAGCAACAAAGGAAGTAATTTCCAAAGTACAAATCAAAGAGGGCGTCCACCCGACTTGAACTAGTACACTCCGACGTGTGCGGACCAATTTCTCCATATTCCATTGGTGGTAACAGGTACTACTTAACCTCCACGGATGATTATAGTGGGAAAACATGAGTTTACATAATGAAGGAGAAAAAAGAAGTTTTTGAAAAATTCAAGGAAATTAAATGGAAGGAAGCTATGGAGGAGGAAATTTGTGTCATAAAAAAATTTGACACATGGGAGCTTACACCACTTCCTCACGGACACCAAGCCATTTGAGTGAAATGAGTGTTCAAGACAAAAAGAAATGAGAAGGGAGAAGTAGAGAAACATAAAGCAAGATTGGTCGCAAAATGGTACAAGCAAGAGTTTGGGATCGACTATGAAGAAGTCTTTGCTCTGGTGGCTCGACTTGAGACTGTACGATTGCTAATTTCTGTTGCAGCCTAGAAAAAGTGGAAAATATATCAAATGGACGTAAAGTCCGCATTCATGAATGGAAATCTCGAAGAAGAATTTTATGTCGAGCAACCACCGGGTTTTATTGTCAAAGGCTAAGAAGGAAAAATTCTCAAATTGAAGAAAGCTCTTTACGGTTTGAAGCAAGCACCACGTGCATGGAACTCGAGAATTGATGAATATTTCTCTCGAGTTGGATTCATCAAATGTCCCTATGAGCATGCTTTATATATGAAGGTAAACGCAAGAAAAGATATTTTATTGGTGTGACTCTACGTTGATGACTTGATCTTCATGGGAAGTGATGAAAGTATGGTTAAAGAATTTAAACAATCCATCGATAAGGAGTTTGAGATGACGGACTTGGGACTTATGAAGTTCTTTCTGGGAATTCAAATACAACAAGAAGCCGACAAAATTTTTGTGTTCCAAGAAAATTATGCCAAGGAGATTTTATAAAAGTTCTCAATGGAAGAGTGTGGGATTGTTGATACTCCAGTAGAGTGTGGTGCCAAGTTGACCAAAATGGGAGAAGGTAGTCCGGTGAATCCGACTTACTACAAAAGTCTTGTGGGGTGTCTTCGTTACTTAACATGCACCCGACCAGACATCCTTTATGGAGTTGGGTTGGTAAGCCGATACATGGAAAAACCAATGACATCTCACTTGAAGGCGGCCAAGCGAATTCTCAAATACATCAAAGGAACGATGGATAATGGGTTGTTATATCCAAGTAATGGAGATGCAAAACTTGTTGGATTTAGTGATAACGATTGGGCTGGAAGCAACGAGGATCGTAAAAGTACAACTGGATTCGTGTTCTTCTACGGTGATACCGCGTTTACTTGGTCCTCAAAGAAACAACCTGTTGTTGACTTGTCTACGTGGGAGGCGGAATATATTGCGGCATCATCTTGTGTTTGTCATGCGGTTGGTTGAGGAAATTGCTTCAAGAATTAAAGTTGCAATCGGAGGATGCGACAAAGATTTATGTGGATAATAAGTCGGCGATTGCACTTGCAAAAAATCCATTTCATCATGAGCATTCCAAACACATTGACACTCGCTTCCACTTTATCCGAGAAAAGATTAAAGAAGGAGAGGTCGAATTTGTACATGTGAACTCAAGAGAGCAAGTCGCGGATATTTTGACAAAGGCATTAAAGGGTGACGTCTTCCAGCATTTGAAGAATTTTACTTGGTTGGAGTTAAAGCTCGATAAGGCACAAGTTTAAGAGGGGGAAATGATGGCATGTAATTAAACTTGTGCATTGGAGTTAATTAAGAGGAATTCTAAAGTCACTTTGGAGAGTTCAAAAGACACCTTAACCTATGAATCAATGAATTAATTAACTATTATCTTGAATGTATATTGATTATCTATTTAAATGGATGATTGATTATCTATTTAAATGGATGTACGTATGAATAATCAGTGTAGTGATAATAACAAAATTTCTTCATCCATTTTACACATTTTACACCTCTGTTGCTACTTTATTTATCCAACATTGGCTGGGATCTCTTTAGTTCGTCTATTTTGGTAACTTTTTTGTTATTTGGATTTTTTATGACATATTTGTAATTTTGATTCAGCTTTTTGGTGGATTTGAAATTTGATTTGACTTTTCTCAATTTTCGGATTGCTTTTGTCTCTGTGCGGGTAATTTTTATCGTCGACTTTGGATTTGAAGACTCTTTTGGATGGATTTGAGGTCTTGATCTTTGCATAGGTGACTTTGGTGCTTCATAACATTTTTGGCGGCATGTCCCTAGGACTTTTGGATCGAAGAAAACCAGGTTGATGATTTGATGAAGAACGCGATGAACGTTTTGAAGCTTTAAGATGGACTTTGAAGGCTTTTTCTCGGCTTTGACGGATTTTTCAACGGCTTTTGAAGCTTTGATCTTTCCTCCAACTTGGATACACGACATAAAACGTTAATTTTGTCGATTTGTCAACCAATATTGGATCATTTGTCCAAACCGACAAATTTTCAACGAAGAAGGCTTCGAAAAACATGACAAAACAATGCATAAAATCTAGAGGAGACTTACCCTTACTCGAGTTTGAATGAACTCCGGCGTCTTAAATAAACTGACCAAGACCCTTTATAGGAACGGGTAGATGGTGCCACATGACTCATTCCCATAGGCCAATAGGAAGATTTTGTAATCCTTCATTTCTTGTCGTATGAATTTTTCTATTTTTGAAGGATTTGATTATAGTCTTTCTTTCTCGTCAAAATCTTTATATCATTTCCTTTCTCTTCTCGAAAGGTATCAATTATAATACTTCATTTACTAACAAAATTTATTTAATTTATTGTCAAATTTATTATGACTCTATATATTTACATAATATTTGTACGGTATCTTCTATTTTAAGCATATTTCTGAACAATAAGATTCAAATATTTCCATTTTATAGCTCAAAGCCAATAGATGACAGACGACATACACTACGAAACAAACATCGCAAAAAATACCTGGAAAGGTCCGCCTGCAGCAAGGCCAAATGTGTTCTTGTTGAATTGAATCATAAACCCGTTGAGCCGTATCTGCGAATTGTTCTCAAACGACATGCTGTAGAATACCTGGCCATCTTTGCTTACGAGCTGCGCGCTGATTTGCAGGTAAGAGAATCGGCAAAGAAGGGCTGCAAATGAAGGGACAATGCCGAGAAAAATGAATACTCTACAAACGTACAATATAAATCGAAAGGGACGATAATGGAAATGGAAAAATGATGAATCTACCTTGCGGGGGTTGGAGGCTGATCAGTTGGTACAATGGCGCTATTGTTAAAGCTTCATAATACTTCGTAATGTTAAAGCCATTAATAAAGAAGCAAATATAAAACCAACAAAAAAAAAATAAAAAATACACTATTTTGTGATGATGATATCAAGCTTGCTCATATTTCCATCTATTTGCATGAAAGTACAAAAACAACCATCGTTTTGTCAAAAACCCGAACCGGATCAATAAAATCGGTTGAAGATTCAACCATGTGCAACTGCTATTTCGATTTTGCTAATATGTACTAATCTACAATGCGAAAAACCCATTTGAGTATGGGCTATAGTATATTTTTCACATATCATGGATCCGTAAGAGCCGCAGGGACGGAAAGCCTTCATTTCTTTCCCGCCAAAATAGGTTCCGAATTAGCGAACTCTTTCATAAGAGGTTCCCAATTTTTACCGCATATAGGGCAATCGTCGTTGGTAAGTTTTAAGTAATCGACGATGCATTCAAAATGGCATTCGTGCGAACAAAATGGCTTCAATATATTTTGGCCGGGCTTCTTCATCTCGAGATCACAAATTCGGCATTTTGAAATCTGCAAAATGTTAAAACAGTTTAAAAACATGTGTATGTAGACGAAACTACGACAATGTAGGCATTGAATATTGGATCGGATAAAAGATTGATTACAAAGTGTATCTTTGATTATTTTTTCAATAGATGGCAGGATGATATGCAAGATTCAAAAGTCGATTTTGATACAAGATGTTAATCGAATTCCAGTAAATTCCAGTAAAATCGATTCTTCCCCTTTTGCAATGATAGTGAATCTAATTCAAGGCAATGAGCAAATTCTATGATAAATCAATTAATCTCGAACACAGAATCAATCATCAATCAAAAAAGTCGATTTTGATAAAAGTTTTGAATTGAATTTCAGTGAAATTTTCAAGCTCTCTTGAGTCTTGACATTCAAAACCTTCAGATTCTTCCCCTTTGCAATGATAGTGAATCAAATTCAAGGCAATTTGCAAATTCAATTCGATAATCAATCAGTCAATCACTAAATAGGAAATGGAACCTTCCAGAAATAGATAATCGATTTCAATCCATTACCCTTATTTTTAACAGAACACTGAATCCACATCGATTGCAACTAATTACGGAACCAAAACAGAGAAACTACAAATCGACAATCTAAAATTAATAATACAATTAATAATTATTATTATAATGAAGAAGAACAGTAGAAGAACGAACCCCCCCTGCTTGATTGGTAGTGTAGCAAGGCAGGTAGAGGTTCTCGTGCTCGTCACTGTTGGTGGTCGGACTCGTCAATCCGAACTTGTGCCTGAATGCTCTCATTTTGTTCCCGATTTTCACTTTGGATCTCGATCGGACACTCCGGAAGGCTGTTTTGACCTTCGTCTTCAGGTTAAATGTCCTATTCGCCATTGACAGAATGCAGAATTTTGGAATTCTTGGAGCGGATGATTTCCAGTGGTTTCTTGAAGAAGAAGAAGAAGAGAATGAACAATGAAAAGATTGTAGGTGTTGCTTTGGCGGCAGCAACTGAAATATCACTTCGTAACTGACTTTATTTAAACGCAATATTTACATATATATATATATATATACACTAAAATTTAAGTAAAGTATATTAATAGTAACTAATATTTAATAAAAATAATTATAGATTAAAATTAAGAAAAATAAATAGCTTAATTTAGATTAGAAAAATTATAAAATTTAAAATGCGATTAAAATAAATAATCATATTTTCAAAAAACAAAAAGGACAAATTACATAAGACGAGCTGGACAAAAAAATAAAATAGAAACGTATTATGTGGGAAGGAAATAGTAATTAGCACGAGGCTAGAAATGCTATTTTAAAATTTATATATACATAAAGAATACTCCTTCAAACTTTTAATAAAGAAAAAAAAAAATATTCAAAAGAAAAACATCTTTTGGAAAAAAACCAAATTGGGTCGAGTGATGAACAAAGTCACTAGCATATATTCAAGAATGGAATACAAAATAATAAATCTTTGAATTGAAATACTATTATATACTATTTTTAATTAAAAAAAGGTTGTGTTGAATATTAAATAAAAAATATATATTTAATTTAAGGGCTATTTGGTAAATAAAATTTTAAATGGAGAAACTAAAGTAAATTTATTTTTTGATAATTGAAAATTAAAAAAACAAATGATTTGTCATTACCTCTTATATAAAGAGAGAAATGAAAAGAATTGAAATGTTCCTAGTAAAAAATAAACACTATTTATTATCAATGCTTTTAATTTCCTATCAAAGTTTTCATCTCCATAGCCTTCATCACACTATCCTCCGCGACTAAAGGATTATGGAAAGTGAATGTAAAACTAGGGTGTGTTTACTTGTGAAATAATGGTTTTGGATTTTGAATTTAAATGCTAAAATTTTGAATTTGAATAATTGTTTGATATGATATAAATATGTATTATTTTATGTTTTGAAAGTAAAATTAAATTTTAGTGTAATAAAATAAATAAATATTAAATATTTGATTTGACGGTTATTCAAAAAAAAAAATATTTTGGATATAATTACTCAATCTTGCAAGCTTAAGTTCAAATGGAGGCCCAAGTCTATTTGAGGCCAAGCCGGAGGCCCGTAATAGCCCAACCGAAGAAAGAATAAGGCAGCTCTCTTGTCTAGATAAGTTATTAGATTGTAAAGACATATTAAATCCTAACAAATTTATAGATAGATATTTGGTGGAATACATAAATTAAATTAGATATAATGTATTTTGGAAGAAAATAAAATTTCAAAAAAATAAATATGTGGTATTTAATTATGCACATATGTTAGTTTTTGTACCATAAATATCAACAATTAATAAACAAATCAGCTTAAAATTGAAGATATCGTACAAATATTACGTGCATAAATAGAGTCATAATAAATTTGGCAGCAAAATAAATTAATCTTGCCAATAAATGAAATATATAAATTAATATCGTCCGAAAAATGCAATGATATAAAGATCTTGATGAGAAAGGAAAATCCACAATCAAATCCGTCACAAATGAAAAACAACATCTGATAGAAAAGGAAAGATTATCAAATCTTCTTATTGGCCAATCAGGACGCGCCACGTAGCATCATTCAAAAAGGAAGTCGAGGCCACCCCTCCCTTATAAATAGGAGTCATGGCCAATTCATTTGACACACCGAAGTTACATTAAGGATTCAAGTAAAGGGGTAAGTTTCTAGACTCTTTCTGTATTTTTTTTTCATGTTCTTTGTGTCATTCGAAGCATTCTTCGTAAAAAAGTCACCGATTTGGACAAATGGTCCAATATTGGTTGACGAATCGATTAAGTTAATATTTTTCGTCATATGTCCGAGCCGAAGAAAGGATCAAAGTTCCGAAAGCCATTGAATGATCCGTCAAAGCCAAGGAAGTGCCTTCCAAGTTCATCCCAAAGTTTCAAGGTGTTTGTCACGTTCTTCGCCAAAAGCATCATCTAGGCCCTCTTCGATCCAAAAGTCAAAGGAACATGCCGCCAAAAGTGTTATGGAGCACCAAATCCACCTTCTCAAAGATCAAAGTCGCAGATTGTCCAAAGAAGACATTAAATCCAAAGCCGATGATAAAATAGCCCACACGGAGACCGGAGCTCTCCAAGAGGCGGTAAAGCCAAACCAAATATCAAAGCCGCGGATCGTCTAAAGAAGACATCAAATTCAAAGCCGATGATCAAATAACCCACACGGAGACCGAAGCTCTCCAAAAGACGGAAAAGACAAATCAAAGATCAAAACCGCGGATCGTCCAAAGAAGACATCGAATCCAAAGCCGATGATCAAGTCGCCCACATGGAGACCAAAGCTCTCCAAAAGGTGGTAAAGCCAAACCAAACATAAAAGCCGCGGATCATCCAAAAAAGACATCAAATCTAAAGTCGATGATCAAATAGTCCACATGGAGACCGAAACTCTTCAAAAGGCGAAAAAGACAAATCAAATATCAAAGCCGTTGATCGTCTAAATAAGACATCAAATCCAAAGTCAACGATCAAGTCGCCAATACGGAGGCCAAATCTCTCAAAAAGGAAGCAAAGCCAAAACCAAAGTTCAAATATGCGGATCGTCCAAAAAAGACATCAATTTCAAAGCCGACGATCGAATTGCCCATGCGGAGACCAAAACCATCCAAAAAGGCGGCAAAACCAAACCATAGATCAAAGCCGCGGATCGTCCAAAGAAGATATCAAATCCAAAGCCGATGATCAAGTCGCCCACACGGAGACCAAAGTCTTCCAAAAGCGGCAAAGCCAAACCAAAGATCAAAGTTTCGAATCGTCTAAATAAGACATCAAATCCAAAACCCACGATCAAATTGCCCACACAGAGACCAAAGTTCTCCAAAAGGCAGCAAAGCCAAACCAAAGATCAAAACCTCGGATCGTCCAAACAAAACATTAAATCCAAAGCTGACGATCAAATCGCCCGCATGGAGACCGAAACTCTCCAAAAGACGGAAAAGGCAAGCCAAAGATCAAAGCCGCGGATCGTCCAAACAAGACATCAAATCCAAAGCCGACGATCAAATCACCCACATGGAGACCAAAGCCCTCTAAAAGGCGGCAAAACCAAAGCAAAGATCAAAGCCTCGAATCGTCTAAAGAAGACGTCAAATCCAAAGTTGATAATCAAATCGCCTACACGGAGACCAAAGTCCTCTAAAAGGCGGAAAATCCAAACCAAAAATCAAAGCCGCGGATCATCCAAAGAAAACATCAAATCCAAAGTTGATGATCGAATCGCCCACACGGAGACCAAAGCTCTCTAAAAGACAGAAAAACCAAACCAAATATCAAAGTCGCGGATCGTCCAAAGAAGATATCAAATTCAAAGCCGACGATCGAATCACCCACACGGAGACCGAAGCTCTCCAAAAGGTGGAAAAGCCAAACCAAAGATTAAAGTTGTAGATTGTTCAAAGAAGACATCAAATCTAAAACCGACGATCAAATCGCCCACATGGAGACCAAAGTCCTCCAAAAGAGGCAAAGCCAAAGCAAAGATCAAAGCCTCGGATCGTCTAAAGAAGACATCAAATCCAAAGCCGAATATTGAATTGCGCACACGGAGACCAAAACTCTCCAAAATGCGGCAAAGCCAAATCAAATATCAAAGCCTCGGATCGTCCAAAGAGGACATCAAATCCAAAGTTGACGATCGAATCGCCTGCACGGAGACCAAAGCCCTCCAAAGTCCGGAAAAATCAAATCGAAGACCAAATCTCTTCGGATCAAAGAAGCCATAAAAAACCAAGTTGGAAAACAAATCAACCTGGAAGGAAAATCAAAGAACCCATATAGTGAATATGACCCACATTAAATTCAAATCAAATATAATTTGTACAAATTTTGTGTTTATTAAAAATAACACAATTTTTTGTCTACAAATTTTTGGCACGCCCAGTGAGACCTCTCTACCTTTTATCTCTCTTTCCGACGAACTTCCAACAACCAATGGCTTTCTACAAGATCAAGACGTCGAACATTGCATCGAAAGCTTCTGCTCAATCCACTTCCGCCAAAGGAGTCGCTGCATCCGCCGCATTGAAAAACTCAAGCGCTTCAACAAATGTTGGAATGACAACAAGAAGCATGACCAAAAGAGCATTGTCATTTTCTGAAGACACTCCTCCAAAAATCACAGAACGAAGTTCACTCTATGAAGAAGACGACAACTTCAAGAGTATTCCCGCATCGTTCACCCCTCAAAAAACTGCAAGTCATTCAACTGCACCAAGCTCTAATCCGGTGATGACTACTAACACTTCAAATATTGAGGACCCAAAGACTGCGGATTAAAGTCAGCTTTGCAAAGAAGATCAAAGCTTCAAAGGCATTTTCATGCCACCTATTCATCGGCCAATTTCAAGTCATTCAACCGCATCAAGCTCTGCTCTGGTGATGACTATCAATGCTTCAAATATAGAAGACGAACTTGCAGCATTGGCCAAAATCGTTGAAGGTATGTCTCAACACATGCAACAACAAGACGCCCTCATCGAAAAACTTCTCACAGAGCTGGACAAGCTTGAAGAATCCAGTCATGCCATTGAAAAACAACCATCTTCCCCAGTGGCCCAAAATAAAGCGGCAACATCTGTGGAGCAACGTCATGGCAAAGAAAAGGCGGTGGAACCAAATCCATTTCAACTATCATCCAACTCCTTCATCCATATATTTCAACATGACAAATACATCAAGGGGGCAATCAAAAGAGAATTCAAAGGGAGTTCAAGGCCGACGCACACTTACGCCAAGCCTTACACTGCAAGAATTGATGCCTTCAAAATGCCAACGGGCTATCAACCACCAAAGTTTTAACAATTTGACGCCAAAGGCAACCCAAAGCAACATATAACGCACATTTTCGAGACATGCAACAATGCTGGAGCATATGGAGACCTCCTAGTCAAACAATCTATGCGGTCACTAAAGGGCAACGACTTCGACTGGTACATCGACTTAGAGGCTGGTTCCATCGACAATTGGGAACAATTAAAGTACGAGTTCTTGAATCGGTTCTACAGCACAAAAAGAACCGTCAGCATGACCGAACTCACCAACAGCCGCCAACGGAAAGATGAGCCAGTAATCAACTACATCAACCGTTGGAGAATTCTAAGCCTCAACTGCAAAGACCGTTTGTTCGAGGCTTCCGGCATAGAAATGTGTATTCAAGGAATGTAGTGGGGCTTAAAATACATCTTACAAAGGATCCGACCCATACTTTTGAAGAACACGCCACTTGCGCTCATGATATGAAATTGAGTATGATGACTAGTGGAATATATGAATCGCCTACCCAAGATTTCTCAGACGACGAGAAATATAACACTTAAAATAGTAGGGGCAATCAACCTACAACACTCCTGGAAACAAGGATAAACTTTCTACAACTCTTGGAAACGAGGATAAACTTTCTACAATCTCCTGGAAACGAGAATAAACTTTCTACAACAATCCTAGAAACGAGGATAAACTTTCTACAACCTCCTAGAAATGAGGATAAACTTTTTCCCATCTCCTAGAAACGAGGTTAAACTTTCTACAAGACTTCTTAACACGAGAATAAACTGTTTAACAAAAATAAACAAATTCAATTTGTTTTGAACTACGTTATGACTTGATTATTTCACCGGATACGTAGGCAACTTAGAATATAACTCCGAATATAGTCAACTATGTAAAAAAAAAGCTCTAAAAAAATAAATTGAGCAAAGAAAGAAAAAGCTCTAAAAAAAATTGGGCTTAAAAAAAAGTAATGTAAAAAAAAAAAGGCCCTTAAAAAAATGCAAAAAAAAAAAAAAAACATTCAGTAAAAAAAAAATGATTTATGTTTTAAGACTCATTCACGCCTTAAATGTTTTGCGTCGGCTTAAACAACTCTTGAGGCCTAAATTAAATTAAATATAATGTATTTTGGGAGAAAATAAAATTCAAAGAAAATAAATATGTGGTATTTAATTATGCACATATGTTAGTTTTTGTACAATAAATATCAACAATTAATGCAAAAATCTCCTTAAAATGAAAGATATTTTACAAATATTACGTGTATAAATAGAGTCATAATAAATTTGACAGCAAAATAAATTAATTCTGTCAATAAAGAATGTATATAAATTAATATCTTCTAGAAAAGACAATGATATAAAGATTTTGACAAGAAAGGAAGGTGCACAATCAAATCCGTCACGAATGGAAAACAAATATCTGATGGAAAATGAAAAATGATAAAATCTTCTTATGGGCGAATCAGGACGCACCACGTAGCACCATCAAAAAAGGAAGCCGAAGCCACCCCTCCACTATAAATAGGAGTCATGACCAATTCATTTGACACACCGAAGTTATATTGAGGATTCAAGCAAAGGGGTAAGTCTCTAGACTTTTTCTGTATTGTTCTTCATGTTCTTCGTGTCCTTCGAAGCGTTCTTTGTCGAAAAGTCACCGATTTGGACAAATGATCCAATATTGGTTGACGAATCGATAAAGTTAACGTTCTTCGTCAAATGTCCGAGACGGAAGAAGGATCAAAGCTCCAAAAGCCGTTGAAGGATCCGTCAAAACCAAGGAAGGGCCTCCCAAGTTCATCCCAAAGCTTCAAGGTGTTCGTCGCGTTCTTCGCTAAAAGCATCAACTAGGTCCTCTTAGATCCAAAAGTCAAAGGGACATGCCGCCAAAAGTGTTATATAGCACCAAATCCACCTTATCAAATATCAAAGCCGCAGATCGTCCAAAGAAGATATCAAATCCAAAGCCGATGATCATATAGTCCACACCGAGACCGAAGCTCTCCAAAAGGCGGTAGTCAAACCAAAGATCAAAGTCGCGGATCGTCCAAAGAAGACATCAAATCCAAAGCCGGTAATCAAATAGCCCACTCGGAGACCCAAGCTCTCCAAAAGGCGGAAAAGGCAAATCAAAGATCAAAGCTACAAACCGTCCAAAGAAGACATCAAATCCAAAGCCGACGATCAAGTCGCCACATGGAGACCAAAGCAATCCAAAAGACGGTAAAACCAAATCAAAGATCAAAATCGCGGATCATCCAAAGAAGGCATCAAATCCAAAGTCGATGATCAAATAGCCCACACGGAGACCGAAGCTCTCCAAAAGGCGGAAAAGACAAATCAAAGATCAAAGTCGCGGATCGTCCAAAGATGACATCAAATCCAAAGCCGACGATCAAGTTGCCCACACTGAGGCCAAAGCTCTCCAAAATGCAGCAAAGTCAAACCAAAGATCAAAGTTGCGGATCATCCAAAGACGACATCAAATTCAAAGCTGACTTATTGAATCGTCTACACGGAGACTAAAGCTCTCCAAAAAAGCAGCAAAGCCAAACCAAAGATCAAAGCCGCGGATCGTCCAAAGAAAATATCAAATCCAAAATCGATGATCAAGTCGCCCACACAGAGACCAAAGTCCTTAAAAAACGGCAAAGCCCTTAATAAATCATTGAAAAAAGCGTTTACCATCTAGAAAAAGTTCTGCATTTGCTCATAAGACAACATGAAATGATACAAACATATAACTAATGATAGCATAGTATAACTGTCAAATAAATACCAGAGCATATATAGCATTTAATCAGATATACCAACAAGCTAGAAATCCTAATTATCATACCATTTACAGTGAAATATGTATGATCAATTCTATCTACACCAAACTCCAAAACCTCCCATTTAACAACTATTTGCCAAAGCAAAGATAACATATTGGAATTTAAGAAAACAACAATCAACCATGAGCATCATCATAAACTGTCTTTTCAGCATAGCTGACCCATTGCAGCATTAGGGTAAAATCCATGAGATAAAATCCAATCAAGCGATACATATGGTGATGAACTCCAGAGTTCCAGCTACTGTACCAGACATACTAAGATTGTTGAGGTAGATACCCTTCTCTGCATTCATTCTACAGCAGTACAATATCAATTCTATTATCTTTAAGCAATACACACACATACACACTTCAATAATTTTAACATCAACATAGATATAGATAATATATAGGTATATCTAATACATCACATCACTGTGCTATTTTGTTCACATGTCTATTTGCCAAAGATATTATTACTCACTACGGATGTTTATTTTTATTAGAAAGAAAATATTGGTTTAGATGATTTACCTCTTGAAATTAATCCAAAGTTTATTTATACGGCATGCAAAATAGAAGACCACCTGATCTGAAGCACTCAAATGCTCAATTAAAATACTAAGCTGATACAAGTATCATTTAATGTTTAGTTTATACTTTATACTAAGCCCTCCTAAGATATATTATTACTCCTACACCAACCCCCTGTCAAACCTTTGAATAGAAACCACATAAAAGGACAAGTAAGCCAAATGTATGTACATCTATTAAAATTTTCAGTATTAATTGCTACTGAATTCAAGAAATACACACATCATCACAAAGCCCTTTGGCTCATCCAAATTATTGAATTTGTTCAAAAAGTATTCATACTTCAATGCCCAGAGAATACGATAAGCACTCATATCTTGAAAAACAAGCATGAACCATCAAAGGTGCTTTTAAACCGCATAATATTTGTGAAATAGTAATTGACAAGATGTGCAATAGTTTAGTTGGCATAGCATTGTAAATGTCCAATTGGAGACAAAGAAAAATGTCGTAGAATTCGTGTTTCTAGTAATTAACACAACTCAAAAAGAAATGTATCTATGAAAGAGGGAACTAAAAGGATGAAAAGTGACAATCAGGCCTATGTTTCGACTATTAATATACAAGAATGAAAGATCTTCGTCAATCGAATAATGATGCATATCAACTTCATTATCACTTTAGTATCCAATAATACGACAAAACTTCAAAATTATGTAAGCATGTTGGAGACTAATGTTCCACGATGTTATCCAATAATAGTCAAAACTTCAAAATTGACAAAAAAAGAAGGGTCACTTATTTTCCGAACACCTATCATCTTAAACACTTTCAAGTCCGCAATGTAACACTTGCATTTTAATTAAGCTCATATTTGAGTTTAGAAAAAATAAGCGTGATGCATCCACACCTACACATAGGGAAAGAACTCTAAACTAGAAGAATCTTCCCCATCTGTTTCACAAATAAGAGAAAGAAAACTATCAGTAAAACATTTCTAAAACCTACAATTATATGCATGTCTTTTACCTGCAGATATTTCTCCGAGTCAACATTGTGTTTTTCTGGCACCATCATTCCGGGCATCTGATAGCGGACATTCGACCAACCTAGGTTAGATAAGTTTGTATTACCAATCCCTAATTGTTTATTACCAGTAAATTTTGGTACTCCACCAGAAGCATTAGATTCGGAAGCCATTAGAAGGGACTGTTTTTTGAGATAGTATAGCAAGTTGTTGTTGCTTTTCTGCGTGGCGAGACAATATTGGACTGCAACAATTTGCAAACAATAAGAAGATTGATAAGCACTTTCCTGTTTGGTACTTGAATAGAAATGAACTGTAAAATCTACATTCGTAACTCAAGTTTGTATGGAATTTGTACACTCTTCATTGTGGATACAATAAGTTGTGCAGCTATTGCCACTCGATAGCACCATATTAAGTATATTTGTCCATTAAAAATAGTCATCATTTCGCGCCAGTTTATGGAGTCGTTTGGTGGAAAAGAGGGTCATGAAATGCATGAATAAACAGGTTACCTTTTCTAAAAGCGACATAATATCATCTTTTATATATTTTTCAGTTTCTCTATAGTCGAAATAGGTGCACTTGATGTTTAATCCTTAAATAGATATTTGATTCCTGAAGCAGAGTGAGCCCCATTCTCATCAAGTTTTTCTGGCATCGTAGTTAGATTCTTTTATGTGGATGAGAAAGCAGTGCCTACTGCAAGGTGTCGAATATTATTTTCAGAAGAAACACTCACATACTTCAAAATATATAGATATACATAGATACAAACGCTCAAATCAAAGCATTCACACTGATAATAAGTAGGAATGTGATATTCAATAAAGAGGCTGCATTGAAGTGCAGTGTTGACAAGGATGGTGTCATTAAATTGGTTTCTGCATATTTCGATGAAAAAGAAAGTGATGTACAAGGTGTTAGACATTTAGATCCTGATTTGTTAGCAGAACAGGAAAAGAAATACACGAACAAGAACAACGGAGAATATTTTATTTCTGCTAAAATATATGATACAATAATTACTAAATATTAGAAATTCAAATTTTAAACCAACGGTTGCAACTCCTAATAATATGCACATATAATTTATTTAATAACAATAATAATTTGAAGCAATTAATTAACACTCCCCCTTGCTTCAAAGCTTGTCACTCCCATACGCATCCTGAAATAATCATGTTTGGCTTGAGGAAGTGATTTGGTGAAGATATCTGCTACTTGCTCGTTGGTTCCACAAAACGTCACTGCAATTGTTCCATTTGCTACAAGTTGTCGAATGAAATGATGCAGCACGTCAATATGTTTTGTCCTCCCATGGAAAGCTGGATTTTTGGCAATTGCAATTGCTGCTTTGTTGTCACGGAAAATTTGTGTTGCCTCATTCTGCTCATGATCCAAATCTGTAAGAAGTTTCCGAATCCACAAAACTTGCTTTGCTGCCGAAGTTGCTGCTGAATATTCTGCTTCACAAGATGATAAAGCTACTGTATCTTGTTTCTTAGAGCTCCATGTTACTGCTCTAGAACCGAGATTAAATATATTACTACACATACTTTTCTGATCGTCAATGCACGCAACCCAATCACTATCGGTGAAGCCAATAAGTCTGAAATTTTTTGCATGACTGTATCAAATGTCAAAGTTCAACGTCCCAGTAATGTAACAAATAATCCTCTTAGCAGCCCCAAAATGTTGTTTCGTAGGATGATGCATAAATCTGGACACAACACTAACCGAGAAAGAAATATCAGGTCTAGTGTGTGTTAAATAATTCAAGCCACCAACCAAACTTCGAAATAATGCTGCATTTGCTTTTTCAGTCCCGTCTTCATGCTGTAACATCTCATTAATATTTATTGGTGTGGCTGCAACTTCACAATTCACCATGTTAAATCTCTTTAGAAGATCGGCAAAATACTTCTTTTGATCCACAAAAATTCCATCTTCACTCTGAATAACCTCGAGTCCCAAAAAATATTTTAGCAACCCAAGGTCTGTCATCTCAAATTTGCTCATCATGGTATTCTTAAAATCATCAAGTAAGGCCTTTGACGATGCAAGATATACGATATCATCAACATATAAACAAACCAACAAGAAATCGATTATCTTTTTTCTTTATATACAAAGTAGGCTCATTCTCACTTCTTGAGAATCCATTTCTATGAAAGAATGAATTAATTTCACTGTACCAAGCCCAAGGAGCTTGTTTCAACCCATAAAGAACTTTTCGTAACCTATAACCTTATCTTCACTGCCAACAACATTAAGTCCAGGAGGTTGAGAAACATACATCTCCTCTTCTAATCCACCATTTAAGAAAAGCCGACTTCACATCAAATTGATAAATTGGCAAATTTAATTGAGCAGCTAATGCCAAAATAATTCTCATAGTTTCTAAGTGAGCAATTGGAGAAAAAGTTTCGTCAAAGTCTATAGTATGTTGTTGTGAATATCCTTTTGCGACGAGTCGAGCTTTATGCTTTTGCATACCTCCATCCGAATTATATTTGGTACGAAACACCCATTTCAAGCCAACAATATTTCTATCATGTGGGGCATCGACCAACTCCCAAGTTGAATTTTTTTCAATAGCATTTAGCTCCTCTGCCATAGCTTCTTTCCATTCTGATTTTTGTGCAGCTTCTTCAAAAGACGTAGGATCAACCGCTAACAAAGCAAACTCACACGATTCATAAATTTCTGTAACAGATCTGAATTTTCTCGGTGTCGATTCAGCACTGCTGCTGTTCTGGACAGTGGATGGTGACAATTCTGCGCTGCTGCTGTGTCGGATAGAGGATGGTGAGGATTCTGCACTGCTGCTGTTTGTCGAACTGAGTTGTGCAGGCGTATTCGAGACGCTGCTGCTGCCATTCAAAAGTGCAATATCTAAAAGTCTAACACTTTGTACATCACTTTCTTTTTTATTAAATATGCAGGAACCAATTTAATGACACCATGCTTGTCAATGCAGCCTCTTCATTGAATAGCACATTCCTACTTATTATCACTTTGCCATTTATAGGATTATACAGATGATATGCTTTCGATTGAGGACAATAACCGATGAAAAAGCACTTCTCAGATTTTTCATCCAGTTTTGAACGCAGATTAATCAAAACATATGCTGGACAACCAAAAACTTTTAAATGGCTCACCCGGGGTTTTCTACCATTCCAAACTCATATGGTGTTCTATTCAAAACAACCTTCATAGGAGATATATTCAATAAATACACAGTTGTTGCCACTGCTTCTCCCCAAAAAGAATTCGGAAGTCCTTTAGCTTTTAAAAGACTCCTCGCCATTTCCAGCACTGTTCTACTTTTTTTTTCAGCAACACCATTTTGCTCTGGTGTATAAGGCGCTATAAGTTCCCTACAAATGCCATGATTTTCTCAGAAAAAGATAAAATCATTAGACAAGAACTCACCGCCTCTGTTTGTGCGCAACACCTTAATACTTTTTCCGCATTGCTTTTCCACCATAACCTTAAACATTTTAAAGTTATCGAAACTTTCAGATTTGAGTTTCAAGAAATAAACCCAAGTCATATGACTATAATCATCAATAAACAGGAGAAAATATCGACTTCCACCAAGAGATTCTGTTTGCATTGGCCCACATAAATCAGCATGTACAAGCTCCAAGAAATTTGAAGATCTCCAAGATCGTTCACTAGGAAATGAACCTCTTGACTTTTTTCCATACACACATGCTTCACAAAATTCAATCTCTGAAATATTTGGCAATCCAACCACCATTTCTTTTTGACATAACAACTTCAAACCATTTACATGTAGATGGACATAACGTAAGTGCCAAATATTTGATTCTTTATTTCTCCTAACAACCCCACTGATCGAGAGACATCCAATGGAAACATTTGACTTCTTGTCATACGGATAGTCAATAGTGTCTGACAAGAATTTTTTTCATGAATAATGCATGATTCGCCATCAAACATAACCGAATAGCCACTTGAAATTAATTGTCCTACACTTAGCAAATTATGAGCTAATGTAGGAACAAATTGCACATGATGGAGAAGACGAAAATCGCCTTGAATTGTTTTCACAATAATTGTACCTTTTTCCTTCAATTTTCATTTTCTTTCCATCACAAAGTCGAACGTCTCATTTTTGTGTTTCATCAAGATCTTTGAATAAAGATTTATTTCCGAACATGTGATTTGAGCAACCACTGTCCACAAACCAAATATCTTTATTTTCATCACCACATATCAATGAATGTGTCATAAATAATTTCCTTGTTTCTTCGGTTTGCTAGGTAAAATTTGTCTGCTTCTGTTCATCCTTCTGCTTTGCCAAACAATAAGCCTCCTTATGCCCTAACTTGTTACAATATTTGCATTGAAAATGATTTTTTAATTGGCGTGGTTCAAAAGACCTGCCCTTGCCTCCACCACGACCTAGTCCTCGAAACCTACCTCTGCCGTGCCCACGATTTACAGAAAATTCAGACTTTCCCTTTGAACTCTCCCCCTTAATTTGAAACATTTTTTCTTCTGATTTTTCAGAGGATCTGTTCAATCTTGCTTCATGCGACATCAGAGAACTCATCAATTCATCAAGTGTATACGTTGACAAGTCCTTACTTTCCTCAATTGCAGCAACAACGTGATCAAATTTTGGAATCAAACTTCTGAGAACCTTACTGACAACAATCTGATCACTGACCGATCCAGATTCTCCATAACACTTCATCTGGTTGACAATACCAGAAACACGTGACATATATTCTTGGACAGATTATTTTTCTTTCATACTCAGTGTTTCAAAATCACGCCGAAGGGTTTGCAATTTAATCATAAGTACTTTGTCGTCACCCAAATATTCTTGCTTCAGAATATCCCATGCCATCTTGGATGTTCTCGCAGCTGCAATACGGGGAAAAATATCATCCTCTAATGCCGATTGGATGAGTAGCAATGCCTTTGCATCTTTTTTACGATTTTCCCGCAATTGTTGATCCGGTGCTGCAGGAGCGGGGTCTGGGTCATCAAATCCAATTTCAACCAAATCCCACAATTCTTGAGACTTTATAGAGTCTCCATTTTCAAAGTCCAAAGATGGTACTTCTCTCATTTGAAGATTGGAATTAATAGTTGAATGGAAGAATTTCCGTTTGACATTTTGCAAACGAACAAAAAACTTCAGAAAAAAATGTTGCTTCTGAAAAAAAAATACGCCACAAGCCCTCACTTTCTTCTTCGCTGTGGAGAAGATGACCAAAAAACTTGTGTTGGGAAAGTGATTTATCGAAAAAAAAAACACATTCGAACACTTTAAAGGGCCAACTCCCTAAGCGTGGACGGTTCACAGTTATAACAACGAAAGACAATGCAGAACATAAAACAACAATGAGACAGGTGTTTTTTGACCCGGTTCAATTATCAACAAATCTACATCCGGGGGATACCAATCCAGGAGGAATTCCACTAACCAGTGCTGATTAACGACACAAACAACCAAAACTCATTTAACTCTAATGCTTGTCATGGCTAACCCAGGAAAATACCTCCTCAGGTTCGCGTTGCTACAACCTCGTACTAACAACGACCACACAGCAAAGAAGTCCAGAGCTTGATCATTCTCTCCGGTTGGAACTCCATTAGTTCCGAACACCTTCGACCTCTGCAGTTGATATCAGTGTAGAACACACATTCAAAATGTGGAGAGTTGAACTGAAAGGGCGGTGAGAGCTTTTCTCAATAATCTTCTCTCTAATATTTGCACACCAACTCACACACCCCACCTTTTGTCTTCTTTGATTTTATATACAATGCATCCTTGGTAAGAACACCCTTCACAATAATTTCCATTAGCATAGAAATGGATGAAGTGTTCTTCAATGGTTCTACACGATTTTGACCATTCCCAAACTGTCATCTTTGTCTCTTGTGGGCATTTAATGGATTGGACACAAAGGATAAAGCCAAACCCACAAATTCAGTTTGTAGCACAGTTGCAGTGACAGCCTTCCTGCAACCTACGAATACTAAAAAAGGAAAGGTGGCTGCAGCAAAGAAGAAAGTCCGATGACCATATGCCAACATGAACTTTGGGAGTGTTTATTCACATTCTCCCCCTTTTTGACATATGGATCCAGGAAATCAAAGTGCAGAAATTAGGCCACTCACACACCCAATCATCCAAGTGTAAGTCCAAATATTACATGCCAACAGAAATATAAAAAAGGCTATAGGCAGCCTCCACAATAATATGGTTGTAATCACTTCGGACTTCCAACAAAAATAACAACAACAGATAGAATCAACAATCAACAAAGCAGGCAGCATCAGAACTGACCTCCCATTTTCCTGCATCAGAACTTGGTCAACTCCCCCTGAAAATATGATCTCCAATTTTCCTGCATTACTCCCCCTTCGTGGGAGCAGATGAGAAAAAGAACAAGTACCTTCAATTTGCTGAGAAATGGTTGCAGAAGCAATCTCATCAGCGTCACCAGCAATTTTTCCAGAAATATCATCAAGATCATCAACAGGAATTTCAATTGCTTCATAAACAATTTCACTTGTTCCCTTTTCACAAATTCCTTCTCCTTTGATCCGCTAGAAAATGGTTGCAGTAGCAACGTTAGCAGCAACACCAGGATAAACAACACAACAACTTCAGTTGATTCGGATTCAGTTTTGTTGCAGTAGCAGCTTCACAACATCAACAATAATTTGTGCAACATCACAAGGCCTGAAAATTCTTCAAAATCCAGTGTATGACTGAAATGTCCTCCACGTCGAATTAATCCACAACCAAAACATCAACCATGGCATCAAATCTGATTCTTGTCATTGTTCAATCAAAGTCTTTTCTCAACGCTTCTTCTTTTTGGATTTTTCAAAAAATATTTCTTCCCAAATTATTTTTATTCTCCAATATTCATTAAGAATATCCCAATTAGCATAAATGTATTGGAGAATTTATTAAGCCCATGCATGCAGATCAGTTAGGGCAGGACCACATACCAAGGTCCCTTTGAAGTTTTTCAAACCGATCGTCATCTAGATTTTTGTAAATATATCCGCCTTCTGCTCAAGTGTTCCAACATGCTGTAAATCACAGATCCCGCTCTCCACCAAATCTCTGATGAAGTGGTAACGGATGTCAATGTGCTTGGTTCTCCCATGTTGGACAGGATTTTTAGATATGTTGATGGCGCTTGTATTATAACATAGAAGAGTGAATGAGTCTTGATCAATTCCGTAATCCTTAAGCATCTGACGAATCCACATCAGTTGGGCACAGCAGCTCCCAGCAACAATGTACTCAGCCTCGGCAGTGGACAGTGCAACTGAATTTTGTTTCTTCGAATTCCAGCTCATAAGGTTGTCTCCAATGTAAAAACATCCACCAGTTGTACTTTTCCTGTTACCACAACAACTTGCCCAGTCTGAATCAATAAAGCCAATAAGGTCAAGGTTGGACCTGTTCGAGTACCACAGTCCAAGCTCTGTTGTCCCTTTAATATATCTGAGAATCCTCTTAGCAGCCTTCATGTGAGATTCTTTCGGTGCCGATTGAAATCTTGCACAGACACCCACACTGAATGAAATATCTGGACGACTTGTAGTTAAGTATAGTAAGCTACCAATCAAACTTCTATACATTTTCTGATCGACTGGTTTTCCATCTTCATCCTTTGCCATCTTATCTTGTTGTCCGAGAAGTGTTCTAACAACCTTTGCATCACGAAGACCGAACTTCTCAATCATGTTTTGAGCATACTTTGTTTGGCTCAGAAAGACTCCATCAGACAGTTGTTTCACTTGTAAGCCCAGAAAATAGTTAAGCTCTCCCATCATGCTCATTTCAAATTTAGCTTTCATAAATCTCACGAATTCCTTTCTCAAGAATTCAGTCGTTGACCCAAACACAATGTCATCGATATAAACCTGTGCAATCATCAGATCATCCCCTTTTAGCTTAATGAACAATGTCTTGTCTGTTGACCCACGAACATACTCCTTCTCCAGCAGTAAATTGGACAGTCTTTCATACCAAGCTCTTGGAGCTTGCTTCAATCCATAGAGAGCTTTCCTTAGACGATACACGTGATGAGGATGAAAGGGATCTTCAAATCCCTTTGGTTGTTCAACATAGATCTCCTCCTTGATCCATCCATTGAGGAATGTTGTTTTTACTTTCATTTGAAATAGAGTGAATCCTAAAGAGCATGCAACAGACACAACAATCTTACAGCCTCTATACGAGCAACTGCGGCGAATGTCTCATCGTAGTCAACACCTTTTATTTGTGTGTATCCTTCCGCTACCAATCTCGCCATATTTCTGGTGATATTTCTCTTTTCATCTGACTTGTTCTTGAAGATCCATTTGGTTCCAATCACGTTCGTATTTGCAGGTCTCTTCACCAGATACCAAACTTGGTTTCTTTCAAATTGGTTCAATTCATCGTGCATGGCATTGATCCAATATTCATCCGAAAGGGCCTCATCATCCGAAAGGGCCTCATCCGAAAGACAATGCAGAACATAAAATAACAATGAGACAGGTGTTTGTTGACCCGGTTTGATTATCAATAAATCTACATCCGGGGAATACCAATTCAGGAGGAATTCCACTAACCAGTGCTGATTAAGGACACAAACAACCACAACTCATTTAACTCTAATTCTTGTCATGGCTAACCCAGGAAAATACCTCCTCAGGTTCACGTTGCTACAACATCGTACTAACAACGACCACACAACAAAGAAGTCCAGAGCTTGATCATTCCCTCCGGTTGGAACTCCATTAATTCAAAATGTGGAGAGTTGAACTAGTTGGGTGGTGAGAGCTTTTCTCAATAATCTTCTCTCTAAGATTTGCACACCAACTCACACACCCCACCTTTTGTGTTCTTTGATTTTATATACAATGCATCCGTGGTAAGAACACCCTTCACATTAATTTCCTTTAGCATAGAAATGGATGAAGTGTTCTCTAATGGTTCTGCACGAGTTTGACCATTCCCAAATTGTCATCTTTGTCTCTTGTGGGCATTTAATGAATTGGACACAAAGGATAAAGTCAAACCCACGAATTCAGTCTGCAGCGCTGTTGCAGTGACAACCTTCCTGCAACCTACGAATACTAAAAATGGAAAGGTGGCTGCAGCAGAGAAGAAAGTTTGATGACCATATGCCAAAATGAACTTTGGGAGTGTTTATTCACAACTTCGAATTTATTTGCTCTGATACCAAATTTGTTAGCAGAACATGAAAAGAAATGCACGAACAAGAACAAATGAGAATATTTTATTTCTGCTAAAAAAATATGATACAATAAATCTGATACAATAATTACTAAATATTAGAAATTCAAATTTTAAACCTGACTGTTACAACTCCTAATAATATGCACATATTATTTATTTAATAACAATAATAATTTGAAGCACTTAATTAACACACACAACGTCGTACTTGATGTTTGTATCCTTAAATAGGTCTTCGATTCGAGATGAAGACTCGGAGTTTTTATCACCAAGTTTTTCTGGTATAGCAGTTTGGTTCGTCTCTATGGATGATGTTGTATCAGCAGCTGCAAGCTGTCAAATATTATTAGCAGAAATAAGCATGCTTACCCGCCACGTTATATAAATTTAAATCACTTATAAAACCTAACCCACGGAAGAATGATAGTCATTCAATTTAGAGACATACCCTTAAATACTGCCCATGAGTCGTCATCCTCAGATGCTCCTCCATTTGTATTTTCACCAGGACCATCCACTGAAAGCATGTCCAAAATATCAGTAGCAAAATTAACTTAAGGGGAAGGGCCTGTACCAGGAGTTTGCTTTGACGTTTCAGCAGGCGCATGTAGCTCTGATTTAAGTGAAGCTGGAGAAACCTGCATTTTTGACCAAACTGTATCCATATTTCGAACTTTCAACTGGAAGAATCTCCGGCGGTGAGGAACAAAGGGAGGATTTAAACGATTACTCGCAACACAAATCCAAACAAAGAAAAAACCCCTAACCACATCCACATCCCGTCCAGTCAAAATTATGTATTATATATAATTGCAAAGAAACCGACTCACGCAAAGGAAACAACTACCTTCACCTAGGCCTGCGAAGGAAAAGACAGAAAGCAGCCCTCGTGACGGTGTTGGGAAGGCAGAATTGGAGGTGGCGACGGAGGGTGGAGGAACAATTCAGTGCGCTGCTTCGATCGGGCATTTGGACGGAAAGGATTTATGGGGAGAGGGGGAAGAGTAGGTAAGAGGCGGCCACTTTGAATAAGGGGTGGAAGATGAGAGCAAAATGGTAAGATCAGGTAGTCATCAGTACCGATCCTTATTTATATGTATTACGTATAAGAATAGTTTAAAAAACAATTATGAACAATGCAAGAGCAAAAGTAGATCAAATCCATAGATGTTTGTACAAAATGTCACAAAAAGTATTTCACCTAGTGGAGGTAAGACATGAATTTGTCGACGAAGTTTAAGTGCTCGACTTAGTTGTCCGAGCACGTTGAACCATCTCAGATAGTTTAATCCGTACTAGGCGGGTTAGCAGTGGGCCAAATAAATATAATTATAATTATATTATTATTTACTATTTCAAATGAATTTATTTATTTATTTATTTTGGTTTTTTTATTTATTTTAACTTTAGTAACTGTGCTTACTACTTAATTTTGAAAATTCTTACTACTTATATATTATTACAAAAAAAAAAGAAAAAAAAATTCATCATCATTGTTTAACTAATGGCTCGTTTCATAAAAACAGTTTTTTATAAAAAAAAACTGGATGTAATAGAATTAAGTTTTTAAACTGTTAAAATTACTTAAAAAGATATGTTGCTAATATAATTATATTTTTCTATAAAAAATTATATAATTTTTATTTTTATTAATTATATTTAAATATTTTAAATAAAAGTATAGAATATATATTTTAAAAATTTTAATTTAAAGAAAATATATAATTAAAAATAAAATTACAATATAATAGGAGTATTAAATTATTTGTATTTTCCAATTTATTTTAAAATTTTGTAACTTATATTTAATAATTTTAGTATAATTAAAAAATTTATATACTTCTATTTAAATTTGGTATTTCAATTATAATTTTATATTTTTATTCAAGTATAATATTGTTGATGTAATTTTTCAACAAAAATAAAGTAAAATTCAAAGATATAGAAAATATCCTTAAACTTGATTAATTAGTGCCTGAGATTAGGAATCTCTAAACACTGTATGATACAGAAAATAAACTGGAAAATAAAAGACTGAAATTTAAAGTGGTGATCCCCAAATCTGACTTTGCTTTGTTGAAGTTGATTGAAGATCCCTTGCCAAATGATGATCCAAATCCTTAAATATTCCCTGGGAAACCGTACTGAAAACCGTCACCCGAACGGTTACAACGTCTCCTTCTCAACCGTCTTCCAACCTTTCTTATGCTGACACGTGTCCCCAGCAGACCAAAAATTCCCTATATTTCACTCCTTGAGCCGACCACAGACCTTCCGCTCTTTTGGCCCGACTGCCAATCTACAATAGTATGGGTCCGACCGCCAATCCTCCCGACTTGCGAACCATCTGGCTTGAGGTCTTTCCGCCTTGAGGACTTCCCGACCTGAAAACCTTCCGACTTGAGGTCTTTCCGCCTTGAGGACTTCCCGACCTGAAAACCTTCCGACTTGAGGTCTTTCCGTCTTGAGGACCTCCCGACCTGAAAACCTTCCGACTTGAGGTCTTTCCGCCTTGAAGACTTCCCGACCTGAAAACCTTCCGACTTGAGGTCTTTCCGTCCTGAGGACCTCCCGACCTGAAAACCTTCCGACTTGAGGTCTTTCCGCCTTGAGGACTTCCCGACCTGAAAACCTTCCGACTTGAGGTCTTTCCGTCTTGAGGACCTCCCGACCTGAAAACCTTCCGACTTGAGGTCTTTCCGTCTTGAGGACTTCCCGACCTGAAAACCTTCCGACTTGAGGTCCTTCCGTCTTGAGGACCTACCGACCTGAGGTCCTTCCGTCCTAATGACTTTCCGTCTTGAAGACCTACCGACCTGAAGACCTTCCGACCTGAGGTCCTTCCGTATTGAGGACCTACCGACCTGAGGTCCTTCCGTCCTAATGACTTTCCGTCTTAAGGACCTACCGACCTGAAGACCTTCCGACCTGAGGTCTTTCCGTCCTGAGGACCTACCGACCTGAAGTCCTTCCGTCCTGTATTTTCCTTAGAAATAAATAAATAAATTTATTTTCCTTGATTTCCTCACGGTGTCCTTCAGCCAGTTCAACCAACCCTATTGCCAGGCCCATTCTTCTTTTTTACCTTGGGCTTTTAACCTAATTCTAAATTTCGTACGTAACAACTTGCCCGCCGCCAAGGGACTTTCAAACGCCATTTAACAATCAATGTTTGGAAGTTCATAAATCACTACCCTCTTGAAAAACTCCCTTAGCAACTGCACCAGTTACTGAAACACTCCTGATAAACTTCCTTCTTTAAAAGAACACTGTTTCTCACATTTTAAGAAACATATTCCCAAGCATATTTTAAAAATCAAAACACTGAAAGTGTGAACAAACATGGCGAATGACCGACCTCATGTTCCATCAAGCAACTGGGAGGGTGTTCTTCAACCCTTCTTTGTAGGTAATCACCCTATTGGAGGCCATGCAGAAGACTTGTTATATATACTCAAGCAACTAGACTTCAAATTCCGATTCTCCCAACGAGGTAGAAGAACTATTCATCGCGTCATCCTCCTGATGGAAAAAGTCATTGAGGGGTATGAACCTCTTCGTGACATCCTCAGCCGCATCCCTGATCTCCATCATCACATGGAAATGATTGAAAATCATGCAGCAACCATACTTCCAGACCTTGGTTGGGATAACATATTTTCCAATCAACGAAAAGTCTTTTCAAGATTGCGTACCATTGTTGACCGTGAACATCAAGCCCTAACAGACATGCAAGCACGTACCCATCAAGATCTAGATGACATGCAAAGCCAATGGGAAAGGTACCGACCAGACTTGGAAGATCTTATTGAAGAAGAACCAGAGCTAATATCCACTCACTGGGATGAAAAGTCTGATTCAGAGACAGAAAATTTCTCACAACTACACGATGACTAACAGCAATGAACCTTCCAGTAGGTTCGAACCCCCATAAATGGGTTCTGAATAATATGTGGTTTCAGGCAGTTTTGTTATCTGAAAAGGCAGGATAATACCTCTTCAGATATTTAGCATTAATACAATCATGTACTCTTCTACCTTCATGATTTACAATAATGAACGCGCCATTTCCAATATCTTTTTGAACAATGTATGGTCCTTCCCAATTCGGTGACCACTTTCCCAATTGATCGGTTTTCTTATATGTAGGAAGCATGGTCTTCCAGACTAGGTCTCCTTTTTGGAATGTCCTGTGAAGAACTTTCTTTCCATAACTCCTTGCTCTGATTTCACTCTGTTTCACACTTCGATCTATTGCATGGAGACGGTTAACATCCAAATCTTCTAACTGCTGCAACATAATTTGTTGGTATTCCTTTGTAAGATCACTATCAGTAAATTCTGTTCGGCCGGATGACACTCGAATTTCGGCTGGTAAAACAGCATCTTGGCCAAACGTAAGTTGGTAAGGTGAGAACCCTGTGGCCGTATTTCTGGCATTTCTATGTGCCCATAAAGCCTGAGACAATAACAAATGCCACTTTCTTGGGTTCCCTTCAATCATCTTCTTTATAATCCCAATGATAATCTTATTTGCTGCTTCCGCCTGTCCATTGGCTTGGGGATAATATGGTGAAGAATGATGTAACCGAACACCGAATTCTGCCAAGAAATTAGAGAACTTTTCCCCTGTAAAGACCAAGCCTTGGTCGGTTGTTATAGACTGAGGAATACCATATCTGTAAATAATTTGGTTCAAAACGAAGTCTATCACTTCTTTCTGATCCACATTTTTCAAAGCAACTGCTTCCACCCATTTGGTAAAGTAATCAGTCGCGACCAAAATGAAACAGTGATGTTTCGATGAAGCAGGATGTATCTTACCAATAATATCCATAGCCCACGATTTAAAAGGCCATGGTTTTGCCAAGAATTGCAATTCGGTTACTGGCAAATGATTCAAGTTTCCATGTCTCTGACATTCCAGGCAGCCTTTTGCAAATTGTATGCAATCCTCAAAAATCTTAGGCCAGAAAAAACCCAAGCGATGAATGGCCCATCTCATATTGAGACCTGCCCGATGAGCTCCACATATCCCACCATGTACTTCTGTCATCACTTCTAGAGCTTCTTTAGATCCCAAGCATTTCAAAAGTAAACCTTCAAATGATCTCTTGTACAAAATTCCATTTATCAATTGAAAACGTAAAGCCTTCAATCGTGTCGCAATTGAAACACTCGCACCAGGATTCTGTAAATACAGGATAAGCTCTGTTCTCCAATCGGACACTGTTTCGCCATCGGACTTCTGTCCGATAAAAACTTCGTAATCGGGCTCCTGTCCATTATCCTCTTGCCCGACCGTAACCTCGCAGTCGGACTCCTGACCGATATCCTCTTGCCCGACCGCAACTTCGCAGTCGGGGTCCTGTCCGATATCCTCTTGCCCGACCGTAACTTCGCAGTCGGGGTCCTGTCCGATAGTCTCCTGCCCGACCGTAACTTCGCAGATCGGGTCTGTCTTTCCTTCTATGCCCGACTTGACCTCCGACCACATATCCTCCAGAATTCCTTTACATGCCCTTTGAGCCAATTCATCAGCACGTTGGTTTTCTTTCCTCGGAATGAACTCAATTATTACCTCTGAGATTTTTGTCAGTAGCCGACTCACAATGTCCCTATATCTGCGAAGATGAGGGAAATTGCACACATATTGATTGTTTACCTGGTTGACTACTAATTGAGAATCCCCCCTTATGATTACAGACTGGACCTTCCTGGCAATTAAAGCCTCCAAACCCAAAATTAAAGCTTCATATTCTGCCGAATTATGGGTCATGGATTCCAATCGTAGTTGTAAGTTGATCTTTTGACCATCAGGTCCTTGCAAAAAGACCCCTGCCCCCGATTTGTTTCCAGAGGTAGAACCATCAAAGAACATCAACCATGTTCTGGTACTTATATAAGGCACACATCCGACCTGTAGATTATCCAGATATGATGCACAACTAAATGGTCGGACACTATCACAAAGAGAATACCCGACTTGTGAGAATTCTGCCAAGAAGTCGGCTACTGCTTGTCCCTTAATTGCCCTCAGC